TTCATCCAGTACAGGGTTGCAGGGGAGCTGGAGTTTATCCCAGCAAGCAACTGGCACAAGGTGGAATACACCCAGGACAGGACATCTTTCATCAGTCCATCAAAGGGCAGACAGACAACACACACACACACTCACACCAGTACCAATTTTCCCAGAAGCCAGTCAACCTACAAATATGTCTTTAGACTGGGAGAAAATTCACACAAGCATGGGGAGAACATACAGACTCCACACAGATAGCACCCCCTGTAGCCCAGGGCCGCAGTGCTACGAAGCAACAGTCCTAACAACTGTGGCAAAGTGCTCAAACTGGTGACAATGTAAAGAGACACAGGAAACCTTGCTGGATTTTGGATTCCAAAAGCCAACATTTGGGAGTCTCTGGTTACAGTAAGTGACTCAGCGGGAGCTGTGGCTGAATAACTCACTGCCTGGACAGGGAGTCTCTAGCCCTCGTCCCTGATGGCTGCATCCCAGCTGGTTTTGTACTGTCTCTGTTATGCCACCAACTTCTGTAAACCTGGGAGAATTTTATTATGATTAAACAAGTGAATTGTTTACTTTACTTGATCATTTGGAACCAAAATCTGAGTACCTTAGACTCATTTTGTCTAAAATTGTCTCATTTTGTCTCATTTGTTTTTTCAGTTTGTCTTAATTGAACAGATTACTGGCTCAATTACAGGTTTTCTCCGTATTTAGAAACAGGTGACTTGGGATACTGTTTGAATTGTGGCAGTCCCTAGACAGGGGGTCTCCGGCTCTGGTCCTTAAAATCCAAATCTGGTTGCAGATCACCCTAATTACCTGTTATTCAAGGATCAGGAGCTGTTTGTTAAGCAATTGATCAAATAAGCAAATAATGTGTTAATGAGGGGAACACTGGTTATTGAGGAATTGAAGGATGATAATGATAATAATAAATTTATTTTATATAGCACCATTAAAGGTGGCTTCTCAAAGTGCTTTACAGAATGACAACAACAATCAATAAACACTATTACAATACACAGAGGAGACCGTGGATGGTGGTACTAAGTACAGTAGGAGCAGAGGGGTGAAGAATGGAACCA